ACTTTTAGTGACTGTTTAAGTGGCTACTTAAGTGATAAGCTCCAAAAATTACAGAATCGAGCAGCCAGAATTATTACTAAATTACCCTTTGATACAAGTTTAAACCACCTTCTCCCCACCCTCGATTGGGAGAGGCTATCTCTTTGACAAGAGAAACAAAAAGCCCTAATGATGTATAAAATTATAAACAACCTTGCTTCTGAATATCTACAAAGTCTTTTCTCTCAGCGTCACTCTGTGTATGACATAAGAAACTCTGAGGGAAGGCTGGTCTTGTCCAAACCAAACACCAATTATTTGAAACGAAGCTTCTCTTACAGCGGGGCCATGTTATGGAATAAATTGCCCAAAAACTTAAAAAATGCTTTATCCATTAACCATTTTAGGTGAAATCTTAACGTAGTGGATATATAGAATTCCCACACGGCAATCATGTAAAGCAGTTGATTAATCTTAGTTTTTATTATGTAACTGATGATTTTCCGTGTTTAAATAAATATTTACATACATACATACATACATCTCAACAGCTTAATAAGGGTGACCGCTTAACAGAGGTGAAAATGACAGTGATTAAGGAAGTAGCAGAAGGGGGGTCCTCATGCCAAAAATAAAGTTGTAAAACCTGTTAACTCATTCACTGGTTGTGTAGTTGTTTCCTCATGTGGTTTTTTTTTTTTTTTTTAGTCCCCTGCATGAAGAAATATATCATGACGGCACAACTGTTTTGTTTTAGAGAGCAAGTTTACTTCGCATCCTAACGGCTTTTTTAAATACAAATCGCACATGCTATGAATAACAATTTTTTGGTGCAATCTACAACTAATGAAGTGTGAACAATAGAATGGAGCATACTGGGAATAAATGACTAAATAACTAAACAATTATGGGCTAATTCAATATGCAATGGAATATTGCAACAGTAGTGCTGACACTGTGTCAATTAAAAGAAAAGTGAAGATGAACAAAGTACTAAAGGTCTATTATAAAGGTGAAATGTGTGTGTGGTTGGAAATCTGTTCTGTATTAATAACTTAGGAAAGACTGGTTAAATCACCAAAATAACCTTGCCTCACTGCTCAAAATGTCATTAACAAATATTAATGTGGTTAAGCCAGGTCTTTGGTTACACATTTATGTCATATTTGTTACTCAATGATCACTTACTTCATATAAGGTAAACTGTGTAAAACTATTTGTTGTCCTATATAACACACCTGTGCAATCTCTTACTGCTGTGGCAACTTTTCTAGTTGCTACACACCAGATACAAAAAAAACTAATGTACTGCACTGTTAACTGCTCACAAATTTTTAATCAAAATCCTGAGATAACAGCATTCTGTGGCTGAAAAATGAGACCCCTTCTGGTTTAAGCTTGTTTTGTCATGGTTGCTTACCTACAGAAGTTTAATAAAGTGCTGGTAGAGGAAAAAAAACAGCAAGACTGTAATTCAGGATAATTTGATTGTTTCTTTTTTTGTGTTTTTTAGGTATTTGCTCTTCATCATTACAAGCCAACACCCCTCTATGTGATGGATGAAATAGATGCAGCCCTTGACTTCAGAAATGTTTCAATAGTTGCCAATTATATCAAGGTCAGCAAAGTAAAGTAATTCTATTGCATTTAGCTTTAAGCAATATTTCAGGATTGCAGTCTCTGAAACTTTCCAACATATTATGCCCTCTTTGTTTTCAAATAATATTGAGAAAAATTTCAAACCCCTCACAGCATCATATTCCTTCCTGCATTATTTTTCACACAAAATCAGAGTCATAGTCATACCTTGTATTCCCACTTTACCCAAAAAAAAACTATTGCCCCCAACCATACCACAAGGTTCTCTGTTATGTTTGAACTAATATTGTCTTGGTCTTTGTTTTAGGAGAGGACAAAAAATGCTCAATTTATAATAATTAGCTTACGAAACAATATGTTTGAGTTAGCCGATCGTTTAATCGGTATATTTAAAACTGATAATTGTACAAAGAGTGTTGCAATCAATCCACAATTAATAGCATCTGAAGCCTGATACTGCAGCTGCATGTTATATTCATACAGCTGCATCAGTTTTAGACATGTTGGAGAAAGCATGGTAGAAATTCTTTGATCTTTGGTATCTGTGAAGTATGTCCAAATCAAGCCGTGTATGTAGTGACCAGAGCAATATGTGTAAAGCTGTAAGTGGCTATGTTGTTTTCCACATTAATTTTTTCTGAATTCATTTTATCAAAAGGTTGGTGTGTGTATAGTTGTAATAGCAGTAGTTTGCCACTGCACAAATGTATGTCAATAGAAATAAATATTTACAAAAGAAACAAACCTCACAAGTCTGTAGATAAGTATCTTTAATCATCAGAGAAAAGAAATTCAAAACTACTATTTAGTAGTGCACTTAGGAAAGCCAAAAGCAGGAGCACACATGCAATCCATGTAAGCATACCCATTCAACCTCTATTTCAAGTGGGATATTTTCCATCCCACCTACTAGTAACAGAGTTCAACAAACATCCCTCTGCTTTGATTAAAAACAGCTTTTAAACATTTCTTCATATGTACAGTCCCTTATTTGCACTCTACAACCACCAGGCCCCACTGAAGTACTTCTGTTAATTCAGATATCTGGATAATGGAGTCTGTTTTGTAGCACCTGCTTCACAAAGAAATTCATCTTGTGGAAACTACTACCCAACTTAGAACAAACTCAATTATTCAAAGTATTGTCATGCTCTTTATAAGTACTGGAAAGTTATCTATGCAAATGTTAGTTTCAGTCTAGAGCCAAACCCAAGCATACATAGTGAATGCTCCTCTACCCAAACCTGTCTATCTCCAATTTAGTAAATGACCAGGAAGTCAAATATTTCTTCATCTCAGACTCAAAGAGGAAAAGAAATGATTGTTACAAAGTTAAATGGAAGCTAGAGTATCACTTAAGACAGCGAAACAAACTGTAAAAACTATATTGCAGCATGAAAAAAATGAGTTACTACATGTGCAAGTCGTAGTTCTATTACCTGTTAATTTTGACCCATCCTCGGAGACCCAGGGGCGGAGTCGATTTCAAGTTAGGGCATGAAGAGCCCCTGGGGACATTGTCTTACAAGACTAGCTCCAAACGGTCGCAGTCGTTCTGCCATCTGATTGGTGCCAGAAAATCTTTGTGTTTTTCTGCCCAATCAGAGTGAAGTGTGCTTTAGAGTCCTTTCGTGTGTTTAACACGGACATATACAACTAGCTCAGTTGCTCGCTATGTTTGTTTGGANGTCTTGTAAGACAATGTCCCCAGGGGCTCTTCCGCCCTAACTTGAAATCGACTCAGCCCCTGGGTCTCCGAGGATGATTTTGACCCAGTTTATGATTTTATTTAGAGTCAAGCATGTTATGGTATGCTTCTGAAATAATATCACTGACAATAACAAGATTAAAAGTAATACCCATAATCATCATCATCACTAATATTGTCTGTTAAATAATCCTAGAGAGCGATGTTTTCCTCTGTGTGCAAATACTGTCATGTTTTTAAGACTGCCATCGTTATAAGACCTGCAAATGATACAGAAATGCCACCATTTAACTACTTTTAAATCATTTCAAGTTGATAGTTACACTTAGCATTCTTCTCAAGAATTTTGAACTTTGAACAATTATTATATGACAATTATCCCTGCAGAAATTTGAACACCTCCAGTGCATGTCATTTTTCCCATATGACATACATACTGGTAGTTGAACTTATTTAAGGAAATCAAGTTAAAAATAATTTATTCTTAACTATAACAAAAGATTTTTCCTTCTGCTAATGAGCAAAAAAAAAAAATCTTCTGACATTCTGTTACAGCTCTCAACCAACTGAGCAATAAAACAACCCACCTAGATATTACCATGTTTAAAAATAAAACTAGGTTGGAAAAGGGGAGCTAAAAAGAAACAAAAGAAACAAAATAACCATGCCTACCTAGGATAAATGAAGCCAGTAACTTTTGATTTACTGACAGCAGAAGGTAGTGTGGCACTGATCGTGTATACTTGTCACCTTCCAGTGGTAATACCAGAGCAATGATACAGACAGCAGCCATAATTATTACCCACAAGCTGGGACCCTGCTGACCTACCAACCCTGTTGGATGCAAAGAAAAAATTCAGTCTGGCCTCGTGTAGTTCTAAAAAAGAATGTAAAAAACAGCAGAAATTGTCCATTAAACCTTCCCTCCATGCACTTTGTGGCTTTCACAAAACACAATTCTTTTCACTTGAACAGTGGCATTCTAAATTTCAATCTGAGCGAAAGGTGTAAAAGACTTGTGTTAGAAAATGTTACCTGAGTCTGTGAACTGCTCCACAGTTCCACCACTGTTCTCTGTTCTTTGTGATGTCACGGATCTTGTGGTTGATTTATCCTTAGACATCTGAGACCAACCAAGTATTAGACAGGTATTACATCATGCAAATGAATATAAATAGGTAAGCACTCTGACTGCTGGGGAATGGCTTTGAACTGTACTTCAGTCAACTTATGTAAGGCAATTACCTCAATGAAACACCAATAACTTTTCACTAATGAAGATTTAAAAGTTTACTGTCATCAAATAAAATTTTACTGCCACAAGGGTTTTGGTGGCTAAAATAAATGCAATGGGTCATGATGTTAAAAGGCTGGCTTGATGGGAAGGTCTGATTTCAAATGAATTCTACCACAGCCTGTAAGTGTCATTGAAAATGAAAGAAAACATTGCATATTGGCTTAGGATAATGATCCAAAGTTATAAGTACAGATCTGAACTTCAAACTACTGATCAGAGTTAATACTAAGGATCTAAAGTCAGTCCCATGGATCCCTAACTAAGGATCGGTAGTAACATTGGATCCCTGCTTTTCACTTCAAATCCATAGTTACATGTTTGCATCCACAGTTGTAAAATTGAATCCATAGTTATAACTTGGGATCTCTAGTTATAAATTTCAATCCCTACCTTTGATCCATAGTTATAACTTTGGATTCATGGTTAGAACTTTGACACCACTAACTGCTATTTTCTTAATTTAGAATGGCTCTTACATGCTGCTGTAGATTTCAACCAAATTAACTTAGCCTATTGGCCAGTTTATTTGTAATAAATATTACCAGACAGTGGTACTCTGGGCTGGAGGGTAGGGTTAGCCAGAAATCATGGGATTTAGAGTAGTTGTCATGGATTTGCATATTAGGACAATGACACTCTGGAGGGATTGGAAAATTTATTCTGTAGGAAGACATTTGGTGGTATACCATCAGCACCTGTTGATGTTCTTTCCTGCTGGGCTGAAGGACAGCCATGATTTCTTTTTGACCAATCACTTTCTGTAGCCCATACTCAAAAATCTGAAGACGAAATTTGTCTAACTGTGTTTTTGCAGTTTGAACATCACTGTGACGGACAACTCTAAAATTCAATGACAATAAAAACTTGCATCACTTTCCCTAAATGTGAGCACGACACTTCAATAATTGATACTAAAATCCAAATTATCTAAATATGTAAATAAGAAGAAAATTTAAGATGAACTTAGATTAATATTAATAATTTCATTTTACCAATATCAAAATTTCTGTACTCCCATCAAATTTCTTCAACTGGCTATCAGCCAACCAACAGCTCAGAGAAATCCTGATACACGTATATAAGTTATGTAACTCATCTTTGAGATAATGTGTGGGTATATTTGATATGTTCTTTGTTAAACTTCACTTCATTTTTCAAAAGGGAATATTTCATGAAGAGGAACTTAAAGCTTCAAGTTATATCCTGTAGCCCATATGCCATGATTTAAATACATGGGTCAGTGACAATAATCAAATGAGGAAACATGGACAAAAAAAGAGCAACACTTGAGAAAAACAATACTTGGTAAACACTATCACTTGGTTCTTACAGTCATCCTCACAAAAATAAAACAAAAAACCACAGAGGTATTAAAAATCATTAATACAATTATGTTAATTAGTATAAAACTGCTGAAATTATCTTCCCAATGGAAATAAAAAATTTTGCAAATTTTTGGAAAAAGAAAAAAAAATTAGGCAGAGTGAATCACAGGGCATCATATGAAGATGCATTGTGTAGGCTCTACATCTGTGGGTCAAGTAACTATTCTCATTACTACCAAGAGTGAGGTGGTTACAGAAAAATCTCAAACTGAGACCTTTCTGTATTGACCAAGCAATAGCAAGGTCAATAAAGCTAAGCTGCAGTCTGAGATTTACCCGTAATAACCAAACATTCAAAATAGTCAAACATGTCCAGGCCTTGGTGAAAGGAGATGCAAATGCTCTGGAATGCACAGTTCAGAAAATTTCAATCTTCCCCTTCACTTTCAACAGCATGTTTTTTGCCATCCGGAAGATTTATGAATAAACTGCTGAACTCTACAAGACTTCTGAACATCTAAAACTACATGAAGTAATCAGAAAATCTGCTACCGACAGAAAGCAATCTTACATCTGATGTTCCTGGAAACTGATTTAATCTTGGTTGTTTATGTGAGTGAATCTATTGAAGAGGCCTACTAAGCTAACTGTGACAAAATTAACCTTGCAATAATTGTTGAGACTTACTAGTTTTTTTGTGGTGTTCTGTTAAGGATGCATGACAGATCTACTGATGGTGTACTCCACTTAGCAATTTTTAAAACTTTCAATACGACAGGACAAACTTTGATTGTTCTACAGTTGTGCCCTCTCAAGTTACCAGCTGGAAAGGTAAAATGGCCTCTTTACAAATTTAGTTTGGGAAAATTTTGTTAAGATGTGATCATATCAATGAAAGTTTTCCAAAGCAAATTCTTATGGATTCTTATATTAGTTGTGAGCTTGAATGTTTCTTTTACCTTGTCCCTTCAAGCACAATCTCAAAGGTAAGTTAAAAATGCACCTTAGCTGTTCTTCTGAAAACTTACGCTGTTTGTATTAAATTGAGTGTACTTTGTGTGACCAGTAATCAGCCTTCGCTGTTTTCAAACACTCCAATTTTCAAAAAGAGAAAAGAAACACCGCAGTACTTGTCTAACATTCCATGCTCTTTCTAATTTGCATAATCTGTATTCAGCCTATGAGCCCTACTGCTGTATAAAGCCCTGGTCTGATCTTACTCTTAGCCAATCAGAGCGTTCACTATATTGGCCATAGGCCTTAGGCACATGATAAACTATCAGTAAGGATTCCCAAGCACTTATAGTCTCAGCTTGAAGATATAAGCTTATTAGCTACTCTAAACTTCAAGTATAAATAAAGTTTATGTTTTGATGTTTATGTTATATTCACGATACAATATTCATAATTTTACTTTAACTTAGGAAAGTAGATTTCCACAAAATTGAGTATTACAAGCTTCCTTGCAGTGGTAACCCTATGTAAACATAGTACACTACAACAACCACCAACAGGAAATTGCTGCTTGGGTTGTTACTGAATGGAGATGTGATGTTTAACACAGCCATCACCCTTTTCTGTGTTTCCAAGGTCATAGTTGTGGAGAGGTTAAATTGTGCTACCGCTACCACTACCACTTAATGTCCATAATGTTCGCTTAATAAGAAATATTATATATACAAGGTTAAAAAGTTATTAAAAAGGTTAAAACCAAATGTTTTCGGCTGTTTGCCATCATCAGGGTTGAAGGTGTTGACCGTCTGTACATACATATATATCTTATGTGATTCCCGATGGGAAAAGTTGGGAGACATAAGAAATAACTTGTTTGTTCAAACTTAAGTTGTTTTTTTATTGGTTATTAATCCACTGATTTGTTAGTTTCACATGTGCTGGTTGATACTTGGCTGTGTAGCTATGTGATGTGGTTCCAGTCTTGACCACAAATTGACCCTTGTTTACCATAGAGTCTCCAGTAGCTCAGTGGTTAGAGCATCGGACTAGATCACCGAGGGTCGTGGGTTCAAATCCCATCTGGGACTCGGATTTTTTTCCGAGTATATATTATATTGTTGTTTGTTTCATCTTCACAGACACAAATTCTGTTTCCCAAATTTAATCATGGATTTTCATGTTAAGAGGAAATCTCTAACTTCAGCCACCTTGTGAAAATTACTTTCAATTGACAACTAAGTTCTTCTTCACCCAAAGGAATGGATAGAATCAGTAACAGAAAAGGATTATATTTTCGGGGAATTGTCAGAGTCCAGGTCAAACCAACATCAAAGTTCAGTGAGGTTGACATAAGAGGGAGTATTTTTACTTTTCACTTTAACTTGAATTTTCAGTTGGGGGTTATCTATGTACTTGAGGAACTAAAGGTTTAAACAAGATTTGTTACATACATATCGATGCAGCATCGAGGTTTGATCACGCCATCAGACTCAACCACGATGTATCTCTTTGGAGCGGTGCAAAACACTTGAAACAAAACAAACATAACCAGTAAATGATTATATAATTGACCCGCGCTGAGGGTGATGCTTTAACATTCATGAATGGCTAGACTTCCCTGTCAAAATGTAAACAAACCGCTCCCAAAACGGAAAACTACTGTCAGTACTGCGTTACACTCATTATGTACCTTTAAACCGTAAAGTGAACTCGTAGGGATTGTAAACCGTGAGAACTTGCTTATGAGTCGACTGCTCGTCAGCATAAAAAGTCAGCGATTGTGGAAAAACAAAAACTGGCAAGCTTCCATCTGTGAAATGAGAGGGTTGTAATGACCTCATACAACTAAAGGCTATTCCCCTTCGCTCTGGTCTGGTTTTCAGCGCACAAGATCTAACACAGAAAAAAGATTATGTACATTTAAGCTTGACAAAAGGTTAGTTCCTGAGCTGAAGGAAAATGACTAATGACGACTCTACGACATTAAAATATTTCTGAATCAAGAGGTGTCTCCTGAATCAAGATGTGTCTGTCGGCAGTGGTGCATTGTTGAGGTTTCTAAAATGTTGGCCCAAGATCTATATCTATATACAATAAAACCTGACTTGATCTGAACGTTTGAAGTTCCTCTACCAGATCACACTCGGTGCATTACGCTGAAGTTCCCTTTTCTGTTTACCTCCAGATTACCAGCTCCCGCAGCATTAGGGGTAAATGTATTTTTGTGTGGCTTACACAATACCGTATCACATCGAGCGCCTGTCACGTGGTCTAGTGTCATATGATGATGACAATCTTTAATGAGGAAACTTTTTCACTAAAAAGTGGTTTACAGAGGTAAAGCGTTCATGTTAGGTCTCAAAGGGAAATAAACCACTGCGTACTTCGTTTGGCTGAACATGGATTTATTTTCGAGAAAATCGATAACAACTGAATTCCGCCAAAATATGGCTTTTCAGGCTCCAAATTTCAGACGCATCTCGGAGCGTCGCGTCACAAAATGAAAGAACCTGGATTGATAAAAAGTATCAAATCTCAAAACATAGGCATGCTATGCTACGCATGAAGGAGTTATTTTTTTGGATATGTAGGTTGAAATGGAACACTGTATAACTGTTGCTGCTGTCGGAATAATTGTTGGCATAAATAAACTGCATTGGTGCAACACTTCCTGCAGTCCCCTCCACAGCCCTAATTTGAACTTGTCACGCAACGCTCTCTCTCTCTTTCCAGCATTGCATGACGAGACCAAACAACGACTTGCTCGTAGGTTAAAATTGTGGTTAATGCCGTTCCTTCGTCAGAGACAAAGTCCCAGTTATTATTCTGACCATTAAGGGCCAGAAGCAGAAATTGCGTTTGGTTTTTTCTGCGCAAGAAAATGAACAATAGCGCGCAGTTTTTAATTAGCGTAAAGCAATGTGGTG